TATGTTAGGCTGTATTATTATTCAGTAATTATTATTATTAATTATTCAGTAATTATTCATTCCTCTTCCTCCCTCCCTCTGTAAGAGAAGTACTACTCTCTACCCCACATCAGTGTTGAACTTGGCCCCAAGACCTTCTTTGGCCAATGGACTATGGGCCAGTCTTGAGCAGAGGCTTTAAGAGGCACCACAAACTTCCATCAGCCTCTTGCACTCCTGATCTGACTTTGAGAACACTACATCCCAGACAGTGAGTACTCCCTTCAGCCTGGGTCCTGAAGTAGGAAACACATGTAGAACAAATCGTAACTCAATCTACAGCCTGCAACAACTTCAACTGTCTTCCCAGACTTAAGAGCAAGAAGAAAAAAATCTCTGCTTTTATAAGCCAGTGAAATTTTGTGATTGTTTGTTATACAGTAATAATACAGAAAAAAATCTGACTAATACGCATGCTTAGCAAGGTTATTATGGCACACTGCAGTGGAAAAGAGGGGAACTGACATGAGATTTGGAGTCCATTGCACTACAGCATCCAGTTCTAACAACTTCCAGATGCCTGACCCTGTTTGGGCAAACCCCACTGAACCTCACCTGCTGGATTACTATGACAACTAGAAAGTACCCACAAAGCACCTAGTGCTTAGCACACAATAGGTACTTGATAAATGGAAGCAATAATATAATTAGTAATAACGGATGGTAAAATATCTTCCTAATTACCCATGATTAATGTGCTAAACTGGAAATTGTTTTTCTGGATTAAATACTTCTTTAACACCAGGTAAATAAAAGAGTGAAGTCATTGTTCAAGTTTGCAGTTTACAAAAGAATCTAATAGAAAATCACTGTTTAAAATGTACAGTGTGTTCTGTATAAACTTTCTAAAACTTCTGAGTAGTCGAGAATATGCATTCCTATTATGTCAAAGAATAAGAATGCGTTCTTTGTGAAGGAAAAAAAAGATTAAATTGCATCTTCCAGACTGGTCATTTAAATTGTCGTCAAATCCACTGTAGTTGGGGGCCCCTCAGTTAATCCATTTACTGTGAACATTATTAAACATTTATTAAATGCCCATGCATGGTAAAGAATTTCAAAGGTATGGTTTTGTTCACTGAGCTCCAAAAAGGTCAAGAACATAAAACTACTAAATGGATCAACTAATCCCAGCATAAGCTGTCTCACAAAACAGGAGCACTGCAATTACTGAAGCACAGAAATAGATTTTGATCCATTGGGAAGGCATTCAGAAAACTATCACCACTAATGAATAACAGAAAATTTATTTGGATTGGAAAACTTGACTAGAAAAGAAATGTATCTAAAATATGAGCTCAATTCCCTGCCTTTCCAAAGAATAAGGAACAGGATTTTACAGAAAAGATATAATCTGATAGACACACTCTAAGGAGCCCAGGTAAATTTAGGGTAGTGTTTCTGAACCACACACAGAAGGACCGCTTGGAGTGCTTGAATGAAGATCCCTCAGCTCCTACCCCAGACCAACTGAATCAGAATCTTTGGGAATCAGTCCTGGGGATCTGCATTGCTGACAGACTCTCCAGCTGATTCATGTGCATGCATAAGTTTAGACCCATTAAACAAGGCAAGCCATGACAGAACCTTTGCCGGATGACTTAAGGTTCTTGAAAGACGAAAACCCCAACAACTTTAGGCCATTTTATTATACCCAAGGGGTCATATGAAACAACAGAGTCCAAACTTAAGACCCAGTAACAGCTGTAGGGCTAAACAACCACTCATTCTACCAGCGGCTCAAGCCATGATTTTTAGAGCTGGGAAGCAAAGAGCTGATTGATCATTCAACAGTAGCACAAACCCAGTAGCGCCATGGTGATGGCTTCTCTTGTTGGACATACATTTGCCAAACTTCTCCCTAACCCTAGCATCCCCATGGCACAAGTCCAGGCAATCATTCCTCATCAGCTTTTTGGGCTGGGATGTTAAAATCTGCAAGAAGTGAGACAGAAGGAAGATGGTTAAGAATATTACCATATGGAAATTACAATCTTCATAAAGATTTCAACATTAAGTTGAAACTTTGTTCCTCTAACCTAGAGAAAAAGATAGTTTTGCTTCCTAAAAGAGGGAAACAAAATGAAATAAAAAGGAGGAAAAGATTGGGATTGACATATATACACTAATATGTATAAAACAGATAACTAATAAGAATCTGCTGTATAAAAAAATAAAATAAAATTCGAAAAAGGAAGAAAAGAAATAGTCACTATGGTTTTAAAAATGAATAATTCTCTAGGAAAGTAAATCAGAAACATGGGTAATGAATCCAAAGAAAAGAGCACTGAGTTAGGACTGAGGAGAGCTGGTTCTAGATCTAAATCCTCTAATGGGTATGTGGGTTTGCACAACGCACTTAGCTATTTGTTACCCCAAGGGAGTTGATGTCATAAGAAAAGAGATTTTTAAGTCACAAAGCAATGTCAAAATGAAAATGGAATTATCATCACTCATGGAAAAACTTATTTTATACAATCCAGAATATAAGGGAATAATGCAAAGTAGGGAGTTGCAGAAACAGACTCATAGACATAGGAAACAAACTTATGGTTACCAAAGGGGAAAGGGAGTAGGGATAATTAGGAGTTTGGGATTAACAGATACACACTATTATATATAAAATAGATAAACAACAAGGACCTACTGTATAGAACAGGGAACTATACTCAATATCTTCAAATAACCTACAATGCAAAAGGATCTGAAAAGGAATATGTATATATATACACACATATATACATACACACACACATATATATAACTGAATTGCTTTGCTGTACACCTGAAACTAATACAACATTGTAAATCAACTATACTTCAATAAAAATAATTTCTATTTATGTAAAGAATTATAAAAGCAGCTACATCATCAGATGACTATACACACATTTTCTGAAATAACACCCAAGATGAGAACAAAATAGCACGGTACAAACATGGAAAATCTAGGCCACTCTCACCAAATTGCACCTGCTCTTCTCTGCATTAAGCTACACCAAGATGAAACTCATGAAAACAACTCATTGTGGCTTGATGTAGTCATGAAGGTTGCAGTTGTTAATGATTCAGCCTGACACCTTCCTGTTGACCTACCTACCTACATCCACCTGAGTCCCAAAGGTAAGCTTCTCACACTGAAGAGCCACACAAACAATGGGACTGTGAGGAAGAAGGAAGGTGATTAATGGCTGGTGCCATCAGCCAACAAGCCCAGGATTGTAAGGACTTTGAAACCCGTTTAACACTTTATTGCCTTACAGATTTTAGATCAACACCAAATTCATGTGTATCTAGGAGCATGCAAGGAAGCCCATACTTGTCTTTAGATGTGAGACAGCAGTGTATACTGCAGTTACTCAGAGCTACACTTGAAACCAGCTATCTTCTCTGAACATCAGTTCATGAGTTGATGAGTATTAGTTCTGGAGGGGCTGTTGGGAGAATTAAATAAGACCCCACTCTAAAACCCTTCATATGGTGTGTCGCCTATTGCAAGTACTCAATGAAGTCATTATTATTAATAGTAAAGTATTAGCATGGAATAGACACCCAGTAAAGGTTACTACTTTTTCTTTCTCATTTTGTACCTCAAAGGTAAAAATATATTCTAATCAAATGACAAGCTATATATAATAAGATAGAGTATATGGCTACATCAGAACCCAGTTTTCTTGACATTTACCTTTTCCTTCATTATGGCTATGGAGATCAATTTTACAATTTACACTAGCCAAAATGAGAAACCATTTATACAAAAAATTTACAACTTACAGTTTAAATTTTTGACAGTATACACAGTTTTGTAACTCCTATCCAATATTTAATACCTTCTCAAACCCTTTTTCTAGTATAATTAATGTACAACTAGCATTCCTATGATGACACCTTCCCACCATCTGTTTTCTTCATCATCACTACTGGGAACAAAACACCCTGTGAGTGTTGTAGAAAATTATTTACTGGATACAAATGTGCCCCCAAACTGTAAAGTGCTAATAGTACCATTCACACAGGAGTAGAGAAGACATCGTCCCTGTCTTGAGATGTGTACAATCTAGAGAAGATTAGAAAAAGGCACTGTGTTGATCAAGGAACACACACACACACACACACACACACACACACGCAGGTGTCTAAGCACCTGTACATTTAAAGGCAAATAATGACAATAATAAGAATAGAAATAAAATCTATACCTGTATCTATGACAGTGTATAAATAGGTAGGGGACAATGAAAATATTGGGACTATTTTGTCCCATATTTTAAAGTGTTTCTGTAAAAGGTAAATCCTTACAGATAAAATCTTAAATAAATAAATAAAATCTTAAATAAATAAAAGGTACCACTATCTTTAAATAAATAAAAGCCACAACGTGCCTCCTCTAGTCTACCATGAAAACATTTGTAGAAGGTTGCCTCCATGCATTAATGGGGCCGAGGCCGATACAGTGCAAATGCCTGTCATTCAAGGGCCAGATGTGCCTGGGAAACACAAGAGACCAAGCAACTAATGCAATATCACTTTAGAAAAGCCTTACTATAAAGGGAAACACTGGTATATAAGATCCATTTGAAAATCCATTTCACACTTCTAATTTAAAGCCAATTCAAATGTAATTTACTTTATCAGGGCCCTTAATTTAGTGAAGGTCAGAAGTGCACTCAACAGAGGCGAAAATTATTTACACTTATTGAAAGATAACCTGGTGATGGCAACGCTGAACAAGAAAAACAAAAACCAGGGACTCCCACTGAAAACCACTGGCTATCACTGTATAAACAGGTTTTCTTACAAGTCAGTGCATTCTACGGAAAAGCTTTTACTTGCATCACCTCTGCACCAAATGCAACCTCATTTGTCATTCCGTTTGAGTGCAAGAATAGCCATTCACTTTTCCAATGTTGACAATTCATGAGAAGAGAAACAATAATTCTGGCACAAAATATGAAACTTACCACTCTCGTCATCTATGTTGAACCTTCCAAGACCACTGCCATCCCTGATGGAGTACTGGATCTCTCCATCCCTCCCGGAGTCCTCATCGTGGGCAGTAACCTGCAGCACACTTGTTCCAATCCGTGAGTTTTCTTTTACAGATCCAACAACAGCAAAGTCTGGGAAATAGGGAGTATGGAGGTTTTCATTGACGTCCACCACTTCCACCTCAACAAAGGAAACGGATGACAGAGAGACAGGCCGCCCTTTGTCTTTGGCCCGAACGGTGAGGTTATAGAACTGTTGCTTTTCATAGTCGAGCTCTTTGCTCAGGCGGATGGTGCCACTTGCTTTATCTATTTCAAATCTCCCATTATAATCATTGACCAAAGAATAGCGCACTTGACCCCCCAGTCCCAGGTCTGGGTCATGGGTCTCCAGCCAAGCAATGACAGTGCCAATGGGGAGATCTTCAAGAACCTTCACACTATAGCTACTGGGAATGAAAGCCGGGGAGCAGTCATTGACATCATCCAAGAAAACCTTCAGGGTGACAACCGAAAACAGCTGCTGGCCACTTTCAGCCTTGTCTCTGGCTTCTATTTTTAAAGAGTAGTTTGCTTTGGATTCCCGGTCCAACTGATCAGCTACATACACAATTCCAGTGGAGCTATTGACGGCAAACTGCTGTGTATCTGTCAAGACTGAGTAAGTCACTTCACCATTAGAACCCAAGTCTTTGTCTCTGGCTTCCACTTGAATAATCTCAGTGCCAATACTTGAACTTTCAAGAATGTTAACTGAGTAACTGTCTTGAAGAAAAATCGGGCTATTGTCATTAGCATCCTCCACATTGATGGTGAGCAACCTCCACGCAGACTTTTGTGGATTACCTAAGTCATAGATAGTGATATTAAGGAGATAGAGGTCTCTGTGTTCTCGATCCATGGGCATAAGGACTTGAAGCTGCCCGGTCTCCATATCAATATTAAAACAACTATCCGTATTCCCATCGGATATTGTAAATAGCACCTTTCCATTGAAGCCAGAGTCGGCATCATAGGCTTTAATCTTCAGGATGTTAGCACCAACTGGCAGATTCTCCTTCACGGCCACATCAGAAGGAAATGACTTGTCAAAATGTGGCCCCTGCCTATTAATTGAATAAAAGTCAAGAAATCCATCTTCCAGATTCAGCTTCCCATTTGCTTTGGCCTTAATGAGCAGTTTCTCTGCCAGCTTCTGAGCCACACGAGTTTCTCGGCAACTGAAGTTCTTTGAAGACACCTTCCCGTGCAGGACTGAAATGTTAACAGACATAGGATCCGCAAAATTCTCCCCATCGGTGGCTGTAATCCTAAGGGCAAAATTTCCATTTTTAATTCCAGGATTCATCAGTGACTTTTTAAGCTGCAATACACCAGAGTCTGGGTTTAAATAAAAGAAACCAAGTTCATTTCCAGAGATGATTTTGTACTTTACGAGTTCCAGTTCATCGATATCGATCGCTGAGACAGCTGTGATATGGCCCCCAACTGGAAAGTCAGAGGAAATAATTCCCTGGCAAGCCACTTTTTCAAAGAGAGGGCTGTTGTCATTGACATTTCCTATTCGAATAGTCACATTGACCTCACTTTCATGGCGGTATGGCGAACCCCAGTCAGAGGCTCTGACAATGAACCTGTATGTTTCTGGCGAGGATTCAAAATCCAATGCTTCAGTTGTGCTAATAACACCTGTAAACTGGTTAATGGCAAATGGCAACAAATTCAAGCTGGCAATACTATAGGTGATGTACCCATTTTCTCCTTTATCCTTATCGGAAGCTGAAACTGTCAAAACGCTTGTTCCCGCTGGAACACTTTCATTCACAAAAGCATCATACAGTGGCTGCTGAAATTCTGGGGTGTGATCATTCGCATCCTCTATGCTGATGGTGACTTGTGCTTTTAAATCTCCTTCTTTATTTGTCACCCCTAGTTTATAAACCTCCTTCTTAATGGTATTCAGTGGCTGTGCTGTGACGATCAGACCTGACCGAGGATTAATTCTGAAGTACTGTGCATCCTCTCCAGGGGATAATTTGTATTCCACATCTAGAGGTTCGGGACTTAATTTCACTATAGCAACCACGACACCAGGAGGGGAAAATTCACTAATGCTCACATCGTACGTTTCTTTTTCAAACCTAACTGGGACAGTGTCTCTTTTGGGGTTGGCAATGTGGACTATCTTTACTGCTGAAAATTTCTGAGGTGACCCCTTGTCTTTGGCTTGAAGAGTGAGATTGTAGCCATAGGGAAAGCTCTCCCAGTCAACCTGCTTCTTCTCCTTAATCCTGTACTCATTCATCCACTTTCCTTCCTTAGCCAGGAAGAACTGATCTAAAGGATCCCCAGCCACAATGGAAACAGACTCAATCTCTCCATTGGCTCCTTCATCTAGGTCATCCACGGTCACCAGCGCATATATGGGCTCTTTGTCCAGTGAGGAAGGAACATGAGTGACCACGTGGAGAGTTGGAGCGTGCTCATTTATTCGTTCAACGTGAACGTAAAGCTTTGCAGTACTGCTCACTCCATTGTTTCCATAGAGCTTCATCCCCCGGTCCACAGCCAAAATTTCCAGATCATACCTATTCTTTTCATCATAATTTAATCGTCCACTTAAAGAGATGACACCACTCGTGGGGTGAACTGAAAAGAGATCAACTTTGTTCTTAAAGTAGTAGTAGAATTCTCCATTGGAACCGATATCTGCATCTGTTGCTGTCACCTGGGCAACACTAGTCCTTAAAGGTGTGCTTTCTGCGATTGTAACAGAGTAGGTTGTGGGTGAAAATAAGGGTCTCAGATCATTCATATCTAAAACCTGTATGCTCACTTTAGTCCATGCTTCCAAATCTTCTCCTCGAACAGAACCTTTTACTATCAATAAATAATTGTCCTGAATTTCCCTATTCAATATGGCAGAATTGCCACCTTTAGTTCTTATTCTGAGAAAACAGAAATCTGCAATGATGACTTCCTCTGCTTTGAAAAAGCCTTCTTCATCTCCAGACACTATTCTGTATTTGATATCCCAGGACAGATCTATTAAGGTGATGCCCATTCTACTCTGGCTGTTGACGTAGGTCCTTGCTGCCGAGTTCTCATACACGGTAGCATTATAAATGGAATGTGTGAAGTGGAAACCAAGGGGCCCGGTCCCCGGCAGCCCCTGAGAGACAGTGGCCAAAAGCTTGAGAAGCAGGAGGATGAGGCAAGAGGGAGGCCGTGTACCTACACAGTATCCCATAGTTATATCCATCACATCATACTTCCATCCTGGAGGGGGAAAAAGAAAGAGAGAAAAGATACATTAACCTAGAGGAACATGGGAGAAGGAACAGGAAATAACTGTTATGAAAGAGTGCTTTTTAAAAACTTTATTATAAAATCTTTTTACTAAAACATCAATATGAGAAAAAAAAAATTAGAATCCTTACCACTACTAGATGGAATACCACAAGGAATTCAAAACCACTAGGATTTAAATTTATCTTATTTGATTTTTTTTAAATGACACTTTTACACTGCTGATAGCATTGTTTATTGGTAGAAGATTTCTTGCATTCTGAAGGTCAATTTAGAAATATGTTCTGGAAGCCTTAAAAAGTGCATTTACCTCTGACATAAAATTACCTTCTAGGCAATTATCCTATGGAAATAATTAGACAATTGTACATTTAGAGCACAGTTTAAAATACAAAAGATTGAAACGATATTAACTGCTTATCAATAGAGAAGCAATTAATTTGTGGCACATTTCATAAAACAAAATACTATGAAGCCATTAAAAATAATGATAAAAAATAAATAATGATAAAAAGATGTATATTTTCTGATGAAGTAAGATGTAATGCTAAATTTAAAAAAATCATAAAACAGAATGTATATATGATATCATTCTATTATTATTTAAACATTTATATATACAAGTGCATTTTTACATTTAAAATGAATTAACTGTGTTGTGGGTTTGGGGGCACCTTTGCATTTTCTAATATTTCTTCAGTTAACATTGTTCATCTATGGTTGTGTAATTACTTTTATAACTATGATCTTTAAAGAAATGTTTTCAAGGTATCACCATCTTCTGTTGTGTTGACTTTTAAACTGATCAAGATTAAGGCATAATCTACTACCATGAGGATGAACCAAACAGCATGTAACAAACAAAGCAGGAAGGACCATCCCTAAGAAGTTGCATGAGCTAAGCTATATTCACAAGTGGACTGTGCCACTAAGGACAAGGGAGGTAAGAAAGATTTTGTGCAAGAAAAATTTAAAGAATGACAAGAGATTTATTTTCTTAAGAGTAACTGAAGGAATTACTTCCAATTATTTTTATCAGCCACTATTAAATTTCCAAGTCACCACAGCTCTGACTATGTAGATTATCAAAACATTTTCCTATATTAACTCTAAAATCTGTCCAGTGCTTTAAAAATAGAGGGGAAATGCTATTTAACAGGGAAGAGCTAAGCCTATTTATACCATGATGGCTCAGATTTTTAGAACAACCAAATGTATTAGTTCTTCCACCAAGACATATTCACCGGACCCTCCCATTTCCTCTCTCCATCTCTTCTATAGGAAACAGAATGGGAGAGAAGAGGAGATAGGAAATGAATCCTTTATCCGGCACACTGTGACTTAGCCCTTTTGTTACATTTAATCCTCACAACACCCTAAGTACGATTTCACCCAACTCCATGTTAGAAAACTGAAAGAAAAGTGAACCCACTTGGTTGAAACACTGGTCCAACCAATGTCTCCCAGCTGGTAAGTAGCAGAGCAGGATCTCGAACCCTGGTCTTTCTTGCTCTAAAAGCCATGCTTTTTCCTATCACACCACCATTCTTCCTAAATTATCTATAAGCAAGAATGAAATAGTCAAGTTTCCCTAGAAGCACATATGACATAATTTCATTCTGTTGAACTAGTCAGTATTTATCATTGATGGAAAAGCATAAAACCCACACGTCCTCTCTATTTGCTGATCTCCATTCTGGGTTTAAACTAATTGCAATCACGGGCTGCAAGCTAAAAAATCCCCTATGGAAGTTTAGCATCTACAAAGATATCTTTGTAGTTTATAAAAATATCCAAGGTTGGCAAGACACATGCTATTATACCCTTTTTTGGATGAGAACATCAAACCTCATTTTCCTAGTAGCACACTCTCTCCACACCCCATACACTTTCTCATTTTTTTCCCCCCAACTCTGCCTTACAGGAGACTCTCATAAGTGAAATTCTGTGCCTGCATTTGCTTGGTTCCAACTGAGGAGGAAATATGCCTTGCTGCTGTCACCTGGTGAAGTACCAAGGAAACACTGAGTAGGTGGGTAGAAAGCGTACAGTTTACTATACGGATTTTGTAAGCAGAATAGACAATAAAAATGAAAAGCAGAAAGATGGGATGACTTTTGATAAAAGAAGTTAATTTCATATGCAGTTCCTCTGGCTGGCTGTCCTTTGGAAATGCCCCATGTGCTAAGTTCTGTGCAAAGCAGCAGCTTGGATGCAGAAGGTTCAGGAGAGTGAACCCCAGGAGACCAGTGCGACTGGAGGTGCCTCTCCGTGGAGGACACTCAGCTGAAAGATGGGAGTGACAGAGCCCTCCATAGAGACCACAGATAGAAACCAGCAGAAGCTTTGATAAGAACCTGTATGACTCATGAAATTCTTCTATTTCATCATCTGAGAATGCTCCAAAGCAGAAGAGGTATTTTAAGGTTCACTATGAACACAGTGGAAGGAGACAAGGTTTTTATAAGGGGATGACCAAAGGCATGTGCACTCTCTTAAAGTAGCAAACAGGTTACTCCCAGCATCTCCAGGGAAATACAAAGCAAGTTTCTGCCTCGTTTCCCACTCACTAGTCTACACCCAGGGCACTCCTGGGGTTTCACCAATACTTAGCCCAAGGAGTCTGGACTCTTTGATCACCAGAGAAGAAAACCATTCCAATGGTAAATTCAGTTCAATTGAAGTTTTCTTAGTCTGTCTCCCATCCCCATCCTAAGTCCAGATTGAAGGAAACCTGATGGGATGAGCCGAACTTGGGCACCACACTCTTCCCAGCATGCAGTCCGGCATGTACCACCAACCACGTATCACGTAGGAGGCATACAATACTGGTTTGCTGAACAGAATATTAAGGTACAGAAGTAAACAGAGGCCCAGAAGCCTTTAACATGCTCAGTTTCCAAATCCCCAAAATAAGCACGTCTTACTTCAGGAAACAGAATCAAGAAATTATACTGATTCAAAGGAGCCTTAAAGAACATCTGTTTCAATCTCTTGAGTTTACAGATGAGGAAACTGAGGCCCATAAAGAGGACGAGATTCCCTAACATGAGGTCTCAGATCTCCCCGGTTCGAGCTGATACCAAATGGAAATGTGTGTCAATTGCATTAGTTTTCCTTTGAGTTATATTACAATTTTAGCGCTGTGGTTTATCAACATTTTGCAGCCATCTTTGTTTTCTGACATCTTAGTCTCCCTGGTGTTACTGCCTCCTCTAAGTAGTTAACTGTTTATAAGTAAACGTTGAAGTGCCCTGGGGGAGAGTTACTTTTACAAACCCTTCTGGTGAATCCTTCAAAACACAGAATGCTGTCATAATATGAAAAACATCATTCATGTTAACTATTTGAAAATCAGTACTTTTGCATACTGAGTTTTTCTTTCAGCAAGATACACTGCTGGAATACTTTTCTTATAAAGCAGAACCAATGGTCTTAAATGCAAATGGAAAGACTTCAAACCACGCTGAAATGGAACTGTATTATTGTGCTCTGAAATTTGGATTTAACTCCAAAAACTTGAGCAGGATTGAGCTTGTTGGCTTCAGTTGTTAAAACCAAAAAATATCTCATGAAGTTTTGGTATCTTTATTTTTGAGAAAAAAAAAAAGTCTTATATGGCACAAATTATTTCAAAACCTTGAAGTTTTCTCCATCAATTTAGAAAATAAACAAGTGCTAGAAGTGAGAACTTCTTTAAAATTCTGCAAAGTAAGTACTAGAATTAGTTTTTGGCTTCCTTTTTTTAGTATGCCAAGATGACTGTTAAGATGTTTTCTTAAAAAAAGAGTCCTGCTTTCTCCACATTGAAGCCAAGCTATCTGTGAAGCCAATATGATAGTGATGGTGTTTGAGAAGCTCTGCACATTGATTTATTTTACTGCTTCTGGATTATTTTAAAGAAAGCACTTAGTTCCCAACCTCAGAGACTATTTTCTACGACTTAGTAACATAATCAATAATTTTTGATATAATCTCCAAAGAGATCATCAACTCATCAATCTTCGAGACATTTATTTTCCAGAAGCAGTCCAGCATGCCTCACCATCCAGCCCTGTCCACTCAGGTAGAGGGGATCTTAGCCTGGGATGTAAAAGGGCATGCGGATTTTCTTTCCAGGGATGAAAAAATACCACAGACCTCAGAGCAATGAACAGCTCTTACAAAGGCCACCTCTCTGGGAGTGCCTTGACTCAGTGGAGTCCTGGAGTGCCTCTACTTGCTTAGGTAACCTGAGGAAGCTGTATTTTGCCATCAGTTAGCTGGCCTCTTTAAACAGTTGGGATATCTGAACAGTAGAAACAGCATCTTAGAAAAGCATTCTATTTTTTACTCCATCTCTTCGTATCTTACAGATTTTCAAAGGGTTTTGTAAGCCAGAGATGATGCTTGGGGAATGTGCTATGACAGCCTGTGAAACAAAGAACAAAGTCAGTCTCTGAAGGGCCACCCCTTTACAGGCATCCTTGACGAAGATGCCTTATGTTCAAACTGCAAAGGGAAGGCCAGTCACGGCTCAGGTGTGCTGCGACTGTGTCTGAAACCTACACAAACGCTCTGTGTACACTGGTTCTAGAACACACACTCTGGTGCATGACTGCCTGGTTTGAATCCCAGCACTGCTCTTCATTATTTTTTTTTTTTAACAAATTTATTTATTTATTTATTTATTTATTTATTTATTTATGGCTGTGTTGGGTCTTCGTTGCTACACACGGGCTTTCTCTAGTTGCAGAGATTGGGGGCTACTCTTCACTACAGTGCTCAAGCTTCTCATTGTGGTGGCTTCTCTTGTTGTGGAGCACGGGCTTTAGGCACGCGGGCTTCAGTAGTTGTGGCTTGCAGGCTCAGTAGTTGTGGCACACGGGCTTAGTTGCTCCGCTGCATGTGGGATCTTCCCAGACCAGGGCTCGAACCCGTGTCCCCTGCATTGACAGGTGGATTCTTAACCAC